GGTGCACATTGGTGTGACTAAGTAATTTGTAGTATACCGATGTATTCACCACAGAAGTAGGTATTTCGAATGATTGTTGGTTTCGATATTAACATTTTATTTTCTCGGTCTTGACATGTTTTTTGTAGTTTTTATAGTAGGAACAACAGCTGGTTATAGCCTAGCCAGTAGCCTACGGATGATGTGAAAGTGAAGCAACGCACATGTGTGGAGCTATGGCCGGGTTAGGGTTGATAAATGCGATGAATAAATTATTCGCGTTACGCGGGACAAGGGCAAAAAAATGATCTTGGGAAAGTTCCACCCGACCAAATTACCTGAATGGCCCTCGGGGTTCGGTTTTTCCTTATTAATCTGGTGGCGGGCAGAAAAAAATAACCGATACCACCGCCTCTCACGTTCGACTTAACGCCCCGGCAGAACCGACATAGTGTCGGCCAAACACGTTTCGCGGGTACAATCGAGCACCATTTCTCACCGTGGTTGGCAGAAAGGGCTGTATGATAAATATATAATACATACATATGCGTCTACACTGTTCTACACGTAAGAAAACCGCAAAAGACAAATCGTATCGCTTATACCAATGACACATGCCATTCGGGGTGTGTGCTCTCGGATCTGTCGCCTGTGTGAAGAAACCGCGGTACACGTGTATGCGCATAGACGTTATATGGTACCCTAGAGGTGTCCGGACACCGCACGTATAATATAGGTAAACGTGCAACAGCGAACAGGCCAATACACATACATATGTATGTAAAGTAAGGGATAGAGTGAGACAGAAAAAGTCAGAGACTTCAAAGTCAGGTTTTTGGATGATTCCTAAACGGTAACGTTTTTTTTTTTTTACCGCAATAACGTTCTGGATTTCACATTAGATTGTAGCCGTTTATGCGTTATTACATCATTTAATTTTTACTTGTGGTTTTTGTCTCAAAACAAATGGTGAGGGCAAATAGATCGAAACGTGGATTATCGAAATAAATAATACAAATTAAACATAATTTGCCATTATTTAATTTTTAAAAACCATTGTATTTAACACTTAGAACGCTCGAGTCGAGTTGTTTTCATTCAGTTTGTTCTCCCTAAGGTCTATATAAAAAAACATCCGCAAATAGATATAAATTTGAATTGTTTGTTATGTAGACAAGAAAACGGAGAATGAATGAAGTGGAGATGAGACTGGATGAGTGCAATGACCTAAGAAAATAGCGATGACGGGCAAAATGGATTGAGATGGCTTAGACATGTTATGAGAAGAGAGGAATTGGAATGGTAATACAAATTAACATAGGAAGAAAGAGGGGGAAAATGCAGACCGAAAAAAGGTGGTTAGGCACGATTAAGAATAGTATATGGACTGCTGATGTATGCTATATGGGAGATTGTGTCGAGTGGGTGCTTAGAACAAGGGTAGCCAATTCCAAATAGTTGGGACAAAGGTGAAGGAGGAGGAGAAGGATTAAAGCTATAAATGTAGAAGTCATATTTACTTTAGGAGAAACTTGGAATATACTCATCACTTCATTAATATTCTCTCTCGATAAATTTGGATAAATATCGTCAATGCTTATATACGCTCCTTGATTCGCAATTGCTTTAAATCTAGCTTCCACATCCTAAAATTATTGTTTTTTTAAATGCATTATATTGTTATTAAACATAAAAACAGTTAAAAAATTGTTTTGATATATTTTATGCAATCTATTACAAGTTAGAACAATAAGCATAATATGTAGTATTTACAAAGGACAGATTGGCAGAGTGAATGATATTATTTACTTTTTAACGTCCTACGCTAGTTTACTCTTAAAATAATTGAAATTTTGTAGTGTTTCTTTTTGAAAGAATTTGTATCATTTGTATTATGTTGTAGTACCTACATTATTAGACAATATTCAAAATTGTATCTTGTTTAATATTTGCTAAAACTTTATCAACTTTTGAAATTTAAATAGCTACATAATATATATTTGATTGAATTTTTAAATTAAGAATAATTTACTGAAAAATTTGACCGGTTGATAACCAGTTTTAAATAATTATTTTCAAAGTTATTTAGTGTAAAATTTAGGACGGGAAGTAAAAAGCAGTTGAGCAATGCGTGCATATAAAAATCACTCTACTTTCCACCCTTTCGTCTGTCCTTAATTTATAATTGTTATAACTTTAAAACTATTTATTCGAAATTGGTTATCGACAGCCAAAATTTTCAGCAAATCATTCCTAATTTAAAAAGTTAATCAAATGTATACGTTAATAAATAAGATTTCAGTAATAATATAAATAGATTTAAGAATAAATTCTATTGTTATTTTTTCTCTCTTTATTTTGTTGATGGTTGGCTAACGATCATTTAAATTTCGACTACCGCCGAAAACGTTTAGTAATTGGTAGTACGTCTCTTTTACATTTTATTTGGACTTTAAATATATGGTGACAGGTGGTACCCAATTGAGCGCAGTATTTATCGGATGACTTTTTTGTTTAAGGCTTTGGATTTTCACGTCGTTAAATTGTATTATTTCGAGATAATGCTTTTTTAAATATACTTTAATAAGTATGTACATTATTTAATTTTGTACTGTGACAGTCTACAGTTACCACATATAATTGTATTTATTCTCATAAAAACCGCCCTGATCGAACCGCATTCGGCATGACGATTGCGTTTTGACGGTTGCCGAATGTCGATATCCATATAAACAAGATTAAAAAACGGGCAAATACTTTTTAATTTGAAATATACAACGAATAGTATCTAATCTAATCATTAAAATGGTAGTAGAGAACACGACTTCAAATGTACTACGATAGTTTGAAAAAAATAATCAGGAAAGTTTTTCAATTATTACTGTATGTGAATATGTAAACTTCATCGTTTGAAGAGCTATACTTGAAAAAGTCCGACCATTAACGAAAGATAGTATGCACTTTCGAAGTCTTATAAGTTGGAAATAAAGATTGACGGGGTAAATTTTAAATTTTAATAAATATGAAAAAAGTAAAAATAAGAGTAGGCTCGTGTGCGTATTTATCTGTTACCAGTACAACGCGATTGCTGCAATGCCACCTCTATTGTGTAAACACAATACCGTGTAGGTACACTGTACATACATGCTCTTTCTCATCCAGCCGTAAAGCATTTGTCGCCAATCGCCTGACTTCTGTGATTAATGTTTTTTAATTTTGTTGCAAAATGTGTACACATTTGTTCAATAAACTAGCAGTATTTTTGCACATACCTAAAGGTCTGTCATGAGTAAGATCTGTCTACAGCCCTCACCAAAACTGTGGACTAAAAATAACCCGTGTATATAGATCCGCCCTCCGTAGATATCATCAAACATTTTTTAACATTAATTACTTATGGAAATTGTTTTACATTGTCAACTTTATACTTCGAATGTGTTGAAAACAATTTCGCAGAATATTAGACATAAAACCCAAGATCATTAGTCTAAAAATAGATTACGAATATTTTTGGGGGAATAAATTTAGTTAGAGGGGATTAGGCTCCCCTAGCCCCGAGGGGGCAATTTTGTTGTTTTATTAAAATTAATTCTTAAACACAAGGTTTATTATAATTATTAGAGGAATAAACAGTTATGTGAATTACAGTTTATGTGACCTAACTGTGCACTGAAATACTTAAGTAGAATAAATAAGTTTAAACAATAATATTATTAACACAGGCTAGGTGTAGTATTGCATCCACGACCTCTCTTAAATGTCGCCCTGGTATATTTTTCCTAGTAAGTATTAAAAAAGAACATTAGATCAATAATTATTTATACATTCACATTTTATATTGCTGTTAAAATTAATAATTACCTTCGTCTTTTTGATAGATACCTTTGAAATTAATTAAAAATAAAAGATATATTTTAAATGCATTTTTTTTTTCGAACTATTAAAACTAATAATAATATAAGATATTTAAACTGAATGTAAAATGACACTTATGCACAATGATAAACAGTTTTGTAGTCTATTGTCTGACAAATAAGTAATAACTTAAAAATTCAAATCGAATATATGTTTTGTTAAACTTAGGTAAACACAATAAAGCAAATAGTTTTTAGTTTTTACAACTAGTTTTGAAATACCACATTTATTTGATATAATAATGACAGTAAGAACAAAGCGCACTGCGCACTTGTCTTTATTCAATATATCAAGGTTACTGTTATGCTTAAATTGAACAATAAATAATAATAATCTCAAAATGTTTCAATATTTTCCCCATAAAATGGGTTAATTGGCAAGGGTTGAAAATGGAGCCGATTACTATGACCACATTTACAATATAAAGCAATTTTATAAAAATTCTAAAGCGATCATTGAAACTAATACGCGTGAAATTATTTGGATCTACTAACTCATTAAATGTTTTTAGTAGTTGATTTCTTCAAATAATAATACTTAGGAAATTATTACAAAATAAAATATAATTCCATGATTTAAGATTCTTTTTAAGATGACTTTTCTCACCAGCCCTCAAAGAAGATTTGTATATTTGATCGTTACAAAATATTTTCCAAAAATATTTACATAAATTCAATAATAAATATTTATCTTTTTAATTAAATTTTAAATTTCCTCGATTTTTAATTATATTTGGTGGTATTTATTGTGTTATTAGGTACCTATTTAACATTCCTACAAAGTATAAAACCATTTAGCTGCAGTAACGCTTAACGCTAGTGGTGAATTCTGAAAACATTGTTGCCTTACTAAGCGGGTATGTCGAGATGGTCAGGAGAGAGCGGAGTTACCTACCTTATCTTCTAAGGCCGTGATGTATTATACTATGTAATAAATTATAAAGTATGATATTCAAATTGCAAAACTGAAAACATGATATGCCGCGTATGTTATGATTTATGATGTAAATTCCTTATCAAAAACTGTTATCATTTGACCGTTATCAACTGATAACAAACAATAACAATAATAATATATTATGGTGATAAGATAATGTGTCGAACCGCCTAATGTGATGTGTCACTTATTTTACTTGAAAGCGGTTGACGACTCCATTCGTATTTTATTTTATACCGGACGTGTTCTATTCTGTTGTGTACATAATCGTTATTTATTTTTGGTGCTCGTCTCCCCCTCATCTTAGCAGAGCAGATCATTCGTTGTCAGTCATTCCAGAAATAAACACACACGGATTACCTGCAGCACAGCGGACACGCACACACGTTCCCGTCGTCTAACTCTATGTTTCAAACTGTTGTTGTCTCCATCCATATTAGTATCTGCTCGAATAGGATGTAATTTTAATTTCAACAAAGAAGTGATTGTAAAAAAAAAAATAATAAAAAATATATTTATAAACAACAAGAGCAAGACAAACTATGTCTGATAACTGCTATACAAATAATGCAAGAAGTAAGTAGCTAACTGATCTATATTTTATTGTTTGTAACTTCATTTGTATTATATATAAATTTCAATTTTTTACATTTATTTTTGAATTGTTCCTATAGAATGAATCAAAGGAACTGGTCGAATTTCATTATGAAACGACCGAAACGATGAGAAACATTCTGAAAAAACAACTGTTATCAGCTGATTTATTCCAACAGACATTCTTGTCCACCATACTTTCTGCTTTAGACAACTCAACATTAAATAATGACTGTAAGTTTTGAAATAGAATTTGTTTAGTCAGTAATATTTATTATTGGTATTAATTATTTGTCCATAGGTGTTACTAACACGTGGCTTGACACTCTACTGGACTTCATCGAGTTCTTACCTACAGACTGTTTACAAAAAGAGGTACATATTTTGTAAAATAAAATACTTCAACTTTTTAGGTAACATTTTTTTTTGCTTTAGATTCTACCATTTGCTATTGAGCGGAGTGAACTCTCTAAGCCTGAGGCATTGCGTTTGATAAGCTGCAGGATATTTGGTTCTCTTGCCACAAAATTAAATAGTTTTATGTGAGATTATTAAAATAATAGTACAATTTTGGCATTTGTAAATATTAATGAAATTTTCCTTTTATTTCTAGTGTAAAACGTGAAATATGGCCGTGTATCTTGTCACTCTGCCAAGACGAAAGCGTCCTGGTAAGGAAAACCGTATGTCAAGAGTTGAGTAAAGTCGGTGCAATTCTTAAAGAGAACACAAACGATTCAAACGATTGTATCTTGTTGCCGGCTATAGTGGATTTGGCCAATAATGCCGATTGTGGAGTTAAAGTAGCTTTGCTTGATGTCATTGTTGATATTATACCGTGTTTCCCTAATGAAACAATAGTTTCCGTTATTTTGCCTTTGGTAAAGAAACTGTTTGATACTGACTTAAAAAGTGCTAACTTGTTGACTATAACAGTTTCCAAGAATATCGGAGTTATCTGTAAAGCTTTAAAAGGTTAGTAGTAAAATAATGTTGTTTAAAAATAATATTAGCATTAACTTTGTTGATTATGTTACAATGTTTCTTTTATTATGATTTTTATAAGACTATTTAGAATTAGAAGATGTCACTTGGTTCATTAATAAATATGTGGAACTATTAGATGTCGAAACCGTGCCATGCCTATGCCCTAACGTGAGTATTGATGTATCACTTGTTATTATTTTTTATTTTGTTGATTATTTAAATTAATCAAGTTCTAAAATATTTTCAACAACAATAAAATACCAATAAGTTACAAAATTGAACCCTTTATTATCTTTAGTAAAAAATTATTATCTTATCGTTAATTAATTGTCTAATTATATATTTAGAAAAACAAAGAAATCACTATATGTTATTCAGAATTTTTATTTTATTTAATTGTACAATAATTGTTCATTTTGTTTTCATAGGATAACTCTTCTATCAGTGAAATATCTTACGCGAATTGGTCTATTCGTACATTTTGTGCTGCCAGTTTACCAGACATAGTTTTATTTACATCTTCAGACAAGAGCAGCACAACGTTGTTGATTTATTTAATTAATCACTTGGTCGATCTGGTTTCTGATGAATATGTAGAAGTACGAATAGCCTTAGCAAGTGTTATAAAAGAGGTAAAATTGATTTTTTAAGTAGCTACAACTCGGTCGGTAAACTGTATTACATTCGTATGTATGAGTTTTAATATTACCTACTATTATTGAAATTATTAGGTGTTGATATCACTGAATGACAAGGTTGTACTGATTTCTACAGTTTTGATGAAATTGTTAACTGAAAGAGACACGCGTGTTTTAAAAATAATGATACCGAATTTAAGTTTTATAATAATGAAAATGGTAATATTTTTCACATTATTGTAGTTTTTATTTTTTATTTAAAAATGAATACATTGTGTTTGATATTTTCTCCCCTCAGAAATATCAAGAACAAGTTTTAAAGTCGTTAATGCAGTTAGAAGAATATCTGTGCTCGCAATACAACTGGAGATTATACGCAGAATTTTTGCATCAGATAATGGTATTGCCGGCGTGTTATTCGTCCGATTTAGTATATATCGTTGGAAAAGTGATGATCGATAGATTCAACACTGTTGTAAGTATTTGACACATTAAAGTTGCACAATAAATATTGTTAGGGTGTTTTACTTTAACATTTATTAGCAGAGTTTTATTTACTTGTAATGAGTACACGTATTTGTAAATTCACATTTTGTCTGAAAAAATTTAAATAATACTCTTAAAAAAAAAAAAACTACTATTCTAATCTAATCCTAATCACTTATATTATTAACATTTTCTAGTACAAAATAAAAAATTGAAAATAAGATGAAAAGTTTATCACTTAAGTTAAATACAAAATTAAGTTAACATTTTATAGAAACTTAATATTTAATTATAAAATATTGGATAGTCTTAGTTAAAATAATAAAAAAAAAAAAAATTATTATTATTGTTCTAATTAACCTTAATTCTGTTGTTAGCCACATTTGTATTTATGATCGTGTATATAATATTGTGTTTTATATTTCAGAGGCAAAAACCAATTAAAGAAGCCGTATGTACATTATTGTTGACAATTTTACGTTACAATCTTGATGCAGACCAAAGAACATTAATACGGGAAAATCTTATTGACCGTAAATATTACATTTAAAAAAATGTTATTGTTAGCTCATACTGTTTTTTTTTTTTTAAGGGAATTAATGGTATTTTTTTTAATGTTTTCATAGATTTAAATTTGTTATATAAATGTCACCAATTTTTTTTGCTTTTTAAACTTGTATAATAAACATAACGAAAAAACATTAATTATTAATGTTTATTTATAAATATTATTATTATTAATTTTAGGTTTTTTTAGTATTTTAATTTTTTATTTTGTTTTAGGCACTGTGAACAACTCAAATTTTTACAAACGAGTTTTTTATGTATTTGTATGTCAAGAAGCCATGAATATTTTTTCCGCTGCATACTTTAAGAAACATTTTTTAATGCCGTTGCTGTCATTAGCTGGTAATGACAATTTTAAAATTTATAATGTGTAACATAAAAACTAATAATTTATTGTTAATACTAGATTAATTTTTTGTAAAGCCCATTAAGTTAAATCTCTGTTCTGGATTTGAACGATACTCCCCCATGCTTTTAATTAAATATAAATTTCTTTACAATTGGATTCTGTTACAAATATTTTTTTCCCCAAATCACAATGTGCCTTCAAATTGTCAAGAAAATGGTTCTTCGTAAGAATTACTGGCAATACTATGAATGTATGAAAGTCAAAAACATTTAAGAATTTAGATTACAGGCTACAACAGCTTTAATAAGTTCTATGTTTAAATTTGGGTTCATTCCTATGAGGATATAATTTATATCAAAATATTTAATTTTCATTTTGTAATCAGAAATTTCATCGACTATTGATGTTTTCATATAAGTAGATTAATTCCGAGTGTAATAATTTTATACTGCTACTCGCCAATTGCCATGCACGATTTATACAGATAAAATATAATTTTAGAAAACTATTAAAATAATTAAAAAATAGTAACTTGAATGACAATGACCCATAAAAAAAAATCATTATTGCTGAATATTTTGGATTGGCCTGGGCTCACCCAGCTCTGGATATGCGCCTGTTTTTAATGTATATTTGCTATTGTTATTCTATAAAACAAACACTTCTTAAGAAAGCTCATTTGTTAATTAATTAATATACTGATTTATTTACTTTAAAGGTTACTTAAATGACATTTTTTTTTCAGATGATAAAACAAAAAACATAAGATACGGCTTATGTACGATTATGCCCAGACTAGTGAACATTCTTTCTACAACAGCGACTGAAAAAATATTATTGAATCGTTTAAATGGCATAATAAACCAACTAATGACAGACGAGGATCGCACAATTCGAGGACAACTACAAAACTTAGAATATTGCCGTGTCACTGTCACTCTTCTAATTCGAGTAATTTTTTGTTTTTTTATTTTAAATTTAAAAAATACATAATGTGTATATTTTTTCTTTTATTGTAGGGTAAAAATAGTAAACCAGAATCAGAATGTACATACACTGATGGAGACATGTTAAAATTTAGAGAAGAGTCTCGTCTGTTACTTATGAAGTCATGTGAGCGCATCAATTTAGAAAATGGTGGAATATTTTTGAGAAGTCTCATTGAAGAAAAAATGTCTCATAATGAACCAGAAAAAAGTGAGCAAAATAATTTGAATGTGATTGTTTATAACAACTGACAAATATATTATTTTATAAGGTCCACGAACATCATCGAACGAAAATGAAAAAATAGGTTTGGCTGACAAAAAAGCTTTGTAAGTATTCTTTTATTGTTAGCTGGTTTTTAGTTTAATAGGATAATAATTACATTTTAATATAATTTCAATTTTTTGCTTCGTACAATACTTAAATGTCTAAAAATAATTTCACACAGTTCACTTAATACTTTTTAAAACTAATAAAACCAAACTTGAGCCTGTAATATGTATAACAAATGGTACTTGGTTTATAATAAATTAAATACTATAATATAAGGTATAATTTTTTTTTATTTAAAAAGTATTTAATCAAAAACTTATAACTATAAATAATAGTAAAATAGTAAAAAAAACAAAATGTAATATATTTGTAAAATATGTATTTTACAAAAAAATTATTGAAGATGTTCAATGTAATAAATTATTTAAAATAATTATTTGTTTAAACATTTATGTTGTAAAATTATTTGTTTTTTTTTTTTTAAATTGCCCATATCACATTTTTAAGTTAATAGTTAAAATTGTTACTATATCACTTTATTTGTCATTTTTATTCTTTTTAGCTTCATTACTAACTAATATTTTTAAAAACTAGAGATTTTTCTAGCAATATACATTTATTTAATTTTATGGAGCTTCAAAAAATATGCTTTTAAACCTCGAAAAACACCACTTCTTTAATAGCAAGAATTTGACGAAATGTTTATTTAAAAAGATGTCCTGGGTTAGGTTAGGATACACTATGATTTCTGATCAACCGATATGCCACCAGGAACTCAGTGTTGTGATTTGATCATAATAGTAGTTTTAACGGACACAAATAAAAATGCATCATTGTAAAACAGTACCACAAAAATAAAAGTATTTTAATTGTGATATTCATTCTTTTTTTTTTCTTTCTATATAGCATGTTAGAATCGGAGTTTATTAAAGACACTGGTGTTTCCATTAACAAAATGATTGAACATTCATCGTCCAAGATACCTACTCCTGTACAGCAACCGATAATTGGAGAACAATCACGCGGCAAAATACACAAGGAAAAATCATCGTTTTTGCCCATGAAAAAAGCTAGAGCGTTACCTATGTCTTTTAATTTTCAAAGAAAACCGAACATCTGTAATCAACAACAACAGGTGGTCACTCGAGTGACAAATGTCGTCAAAAGAAATGGCAACAAGGGTGGTAACCGTAGCAAACGGTTAAGCGTACCAGCCATGTCAAATACCAATGCAGAACTAACGAAAGACGCTAACGGTAACCTTGTGAAATACTCAAATAAAAGACCACAGTCGTGCTATGTGGATGGAGATCATCCTGTCGTCGGAGCGGATAAAAAACCAGAAAAGTCATTGTCCGACGAAACGTTAGACAAGACATTCAGAAAACAACCTTTGAGTCGTCTTCCAATTAGGTAAACTTTGTTACCTTGATTATTTTTGTTAGTATAAATAATTTATTTACATTATTTGTACAATTATTCCAGAAAATCACAAGGTAAATGAATGTCGGTTTTCCACTGTGTTAGAATCCGAAATTATTGATCTTGCGCCAAATTGAAAATTCTGAGCTGTGATAAATTATCAGTATACGATTATATAACTATATTTTTATTTGGTTTTTTTAACATGGAAATATTTTTATATAATATTTGTATCTTTTTTTAATATTTTATAACAAAACTCAGGTACAATTATTTTTTTTTAATTATAATTTATTACCTTGACAGTATTTAAAGAATAAATAGAATTGAAACTATTTACCGCAAATTTTTTTTTAGATTATATAGGGGATAGTAGATGGAATATAGCTGTTTAATTTTAATTATTTTACTTTATTATCCACAAACTTCTTGTGTACTTTTAAATTACTAATTCATGTGTTTTACTAAACACATTTTATTTATTTTGATTTATATAATAAACCATTCTGTTGTCAAAAAAAAAATACAACAACATTTTTATCCACTTATTATAAAAGATAACCATATATTTATGTCAACCTGTTACCATTGTTAAATCTAAAAAAAAATTGTCAAGGTAAAATGTATCTACCAAAGATTATATTGCGTCCATAGCATTTATTATTTACTCTTACCTATTTTAGTGTTATATAGTTAATTTTTATTTAACTGTAATTTGTTGTAATTATTTTCTAGATTGTTATATTTAGAAACAAATGTTTATGTTTAGTTATAATTTGTACACATACATGTCCCAAGACATGAATTGTGTAAAATGTTACAAAGATTTTAGTCAGTATTATGTTAATTTTCTCAGAAGACATGTTGGTATTTTTTTTTCAATTATTATGTTGAATTAAATTTTTTTACTAAGCATTCAGAGTAATAAATTTTTAATTGTATGAGTATAATTATTTTTATTAATCACATATCACTCCTTAAAATACAGTTTTGACTTAATTAAATTTTTTAACTATTCATAGAAACGTGTACAACGAACACGAGAGACTTGCTAAATAGGACCGTATCTGGTCCGAAAAGCTTACCTCACAGACTAGTCAGAAGACGTTTCCGTGATCAACAAACTATAACCTAAGTTCCGTATGCAGTTTGAGTGTTAAACCAAACTATACTAGGATCCATAATATGATTTATATATTATTTGACTGCACTTTTTAAATTTTACTTACTATCCCATTATTTCACTCATTTTCCTCTAATACCTTACGTTGTTCAAAAACTCAACATTCCAAATCTCGCTAAAATGTATTTCTTATGTCTATTTGCTGTTGTTGCTGATGTTTTTTTTTTATAAGTTTCACTTCCGTCAAGTTACTGGTTTTTTTCTTCCATCGATTTTGCAAGTTAATATTTCCTCTTTGTTTTATTATTTTTAATTATTGCTTCTATATGTATCCGATGACTTTCCACCCCTTTATTTGACTGCCGTTTGGTAAATTGTTCTTTATTTTTCGAAAATACCTCATTACATTTCCTATACTTTAATCCCAACCACCTTACACCAAATATTTTATTACTCGGACAACATAATTCGCACGTTAGTTCACCATCAATAAATTTAATTTTACTTTTTCACTAATTCTTTCACATAAACTACTTTCATTTATTTGTTATGAGTAATAGTGGACTTGGTACCTATGTCTCGACTGTTCATAGAAACGCGTATGATGAATGTGCGAGATGTGCTATATAGACCAGCAAATACATCTGGTACATATGCGGTCCGAAAAGCTTACCCACAGATAAGTCGTATGCCCGTTGTATGAACGTCTGATGATATTATACCTAAGTTAATTTATCTACTTAAGTATAGACACCTCCATTATACATACCATTGAGTTTTATCACAATAATTAGAAACATCATCATACATGGAGATACCATGTTGAAAAAATCCGAGCCAAATACTCTACCTCGTAGGTGGTTTGGAAATGAGTATACCTAAATAAAAAATTATGTTATTCTAACGTCAAATAATATACATCTATGTTTATTTACTCATTGACATTTTTTTTAATATTAACTTGACAATGAATATAGTGATCATAGATCTTAATTCAAGAAATTCTAACCAAAAATATTTTTACGAAATAAATTATTTTATAATTTTAATGACAGTAGTTAATGATTTACAATAAAAATGTAAGCAATTAAAAACATTTCAAATCGTTTTGGTAAATATTTTAACTAAACATGGACGTATGATTATACTTTAAAAATATATTAAAAGACTTTAAAAAAACATAGTTATAATAATTGATTTAACATAATTATTATAATATAAAACTGAATTAAATATTTAATTTCGGCTTTCGTTATAAACAAAAACCACAAGATAATAAACTGCTGTTTCATGTATGTATATACAAAACACAGTAGTTAAGACTTCAAATGTAAATCGTAAAAATAAACTATTATGCAATTATTCTTTGGCAATATCATCAATAAATTATTTTATTATCGAAAATTAATTTATGTGTGTACGCATAAATTAATCAAGCTACATGCAATGTGCATATACATTGCACATTGAATGATAGAATAGACAACGGTCTTTGGTACACGATTGATTTAGCATAATTAATTTTCAATTCAATAATTAATTTTCTTTCAGCCCAACGATTTTGAATATTTAAACATAATATTGTATCACTTGTCTGTGCGTGCTCTGCCTCTACATTTTACATGTTCACATAGAAATCTCCCCCGGATCATCAGCTATCCCCTCTTACCCGACTGTCTGTGATAAATCTCTAAAATGTAATATTCGATAAATCCGTCTGTGTACTGTACGAGTAAATAATATTTATTATATTACACTGTTTACACAACGGCGATAATGACGTGGTTGGTTTTTTCGCGTTCGTTCGAAAGACCGAAATAATAATAGCGTAAAACATCTTCTATAGGATATATAATAGCAATATCATAAAATATTATTTTGCACGGCGGAATGCCAGCCGAAATGAAAAATAACACACGGAACTGATGGACTGGTGCCAAATTGGCGGGTGACATGCAAAACGAGCTGAACGCCGGATTCCTCCCATCTGTAACGCGCCGATAACGGCAAGATGAGCGCGTTTACCGCGGTGAATAATGGTGTTCGTTCTCTTTTATTTTCCACAGCGTCTTCTTATCCCCGTCTGGTGTACATGTAGGTATACATAAATATTAAACATATATATACGTATAGTAATAGTAATAGTATATATAATAATATAGCGTACAGGTATGACGCGGCGGTGGCACAAGCGGACGATGCGCGATGATGATAGGAATAATAAGATCACGCCCCAACGGATATACACGACGGAGATTCGGTTGCAACGCCAGTTATGTCAACCAAACCGACGCTTGGTGTTTATAATATATAAATTTAAAAAAATACTACGCGACAATATAGAGACTATACTTTAGAAACGACCGTTTTCGGATTTCGAAGCTTGCACGTGCAAGTGAAATAGACGAACGAGTAGAAAAAGATGTTCAAAATAATATAATAAGCGACGTGGCACTCGCTGCCGGGTAAAAATATCCAGACTGCAAAATTATCGTCCTGAAGATCTGGTTGGATGATAATTTAACAGCTGAGCAGAAAAGGGATAATATCTCTCAACGCCCAACTTTCGGAAAGTCAAGAAAAAATGTTTATTTTTTTATATAATTTACGTAGGAGTTGTATGATTCTTGCTACAATTATTTATAAATGAAGTTGCAATGAAATATTATGCTTTCACAATATGGGTCTATCTTTCATCTACAAAGTGGCTGTCTCAGTATATTTTTCATATTTTTGAAATTTAAACTTTTTTCCACTCGGCTGTCATTGTAGGATAAAACAAATTAGACCAAACAACAAGTATTGGTCATAATCGTTTTTGACAATTGTCCACTAATAATTATAATCACCTGAAAAAATGAAAAAATGCCATTACAATATGTTTAAATGTTTACACTTAAATTGCCAACCAGAAAATTTCTGATTGATATATATTATAACAGCTGACGAACCTGAGGTATCGTACCGTAAAAATTATTAATTTAAAAAATATACTTATTTATCTCAATTAGTATATAATTATATACTAGTATACTACTATCTCACATGCTCGTATATGCCCTCTCCTCTGTGTTTTATGTTTCCTAGCTCTAAGGCGAATAAACAAGAAAAAACCAAAACTATACATTCATTTCAGCGTTGAAGCAAATGTCAAATTTCAACCCTAAAATATTATGACTTTAGTTGCTCATGTAAGATCAAATTTTATCTATAAAGATAAACATAAAAAAGTCCGTTTGTTTTAGAAGTTCATTAATTTTACACGCGGAAAATTTTTTTATGTCAATATTGAATCAGCTCATACAGTCGCATAAACGTAGGTACATGCAGTGGTGTATAAACCGTGGGTGCAGGGTGCATTCTATTTTAGAGCGTTTTTTATGGAATACAATACACGTTAACATGTAATATAAGGCTCAAAAAAAATGTCTTGCTCCTGGGCGCTTTAGTCTCTAGTTACGCTTTTGGGTACATAGCTGTTACGTTGTATCGACCACTCATGTAGTGTAGTACTATCATGATAACACAATTATTATTATTGAACTTACGCAATAATCCTGAAATAATTATTACTTTAGTACAAGTTATCCGGAAAAAAAATAGATTTCATTATTCATCCAGTCACGGTATAATATGGTAATCGTCTTAATGCATATGTCATAAAGGTACCCAAACAGTACATACTTATTAATCTTGTGCAATACCGTGTTACGATCAAAATGTATAATTGCAGTTTCTACTGCGCACGGCGACTTATGCATTTTGCAAAATTAAATTGTTTACACCTTGGGCCTACCGTGCAGTACCTATAGAGTATATAAATACTGAACACAAGTTACTGCTTTAATTTTATCTCGTGCGTTTGATCCCTCGATAGCTGTTCATACTCTGCTGCTGTCTGTGTATAATATACACTCACACATATCAATTACACTTGAATTAAAGGGGTGCGGAAAACCTTCGTCATTAATGACGAGACACTTTTTTATTTTCAATACTCCGTGTGAACAAAAAAACACAAAACCCATAAGCGCACACACTTGAAAATTATGTTTACTAAAATACACATTGTATAAAAACCGCATACTGTGGTCTGTGAGAATTTATATTCTGGTGTATTACATGTAGTTATTTCAAGTTTTAGCGAACTTTTATAAACCAAATTTTAATGTACAACAAGTCAGAACTCACAGAGCTGGCGGTGTTGTACCCATATAGGCGAAACTGTGTCTCTATTTCAGGGCTGTAAGCATTTTGGTATGGCTGAGTCAGTTCTACCTGTACTTGGTGTTTCTGTTATTTGAAACACAAAACGATTCCTTTTAAAAATATTTACTAACGGGGCAAAAAACTAAAAATTTTATTTGGAATAATTGTTTTTTTCTGGATGCTGATTAATGTACATCCGTTACAAATGAACACTAAACACTTTGAAGGGGATACAAGACTAGAAATGGAAATGTTGTTATTTATTTATAAACTTCATATTTTTTACTCAATTAAATGTTATCTACAATTTATATTAATTAAAATTGTATTTATGTAATCGTGGGCGTTATTTAGCTA